ACTGAAAACTGTTAGAAAGCAGAGCCAGTGACACTGTTCCCTCTTGGACCCCTTCCCCACATATAGCATTACAACGCAGCTACGTGGGTTGCCCCTCCCTGGTGAACACCTAAGGCTTCATCCCTCACTACATAATAGGTGCACTGAGACAAAAAATTTGGCCCAAATGAAAGAATAGTTCAAAGCTCCAGAAAAAATACAACTAAGTGATGAAGTGATAGCCAACCTATCAGAAGCACAGTTCAAAACACTGGTTATCAAGATGCTCCAGGAACTCACTGGGTACTTCAACAGCATAAAAAAGACCCAAGCAGCAATGAAGGTTGCATTATGTGAAATAAAGAAAAATCTACAGGCAATCCACAGTGATGGGAAGGAAACCAGGACCCAAATCAATGGTTTGGAGCAGAAGAAAGAAAGAAATATTCAATAGGAACAGAATGAAGACACAATAATTCAAAAAAATTAGGAGGGGCTTAGGAACATCCAGGACACCTTTAAACATTCCAACATCCAAATCATAGGGGTGCCAGAAGGAGAAGAGGAAGATCAAGAAATTGAAAACTTATTTGAAAAAATTGATGCAGACACCAGCCCACAGTATCCACGTCATTATGGATGAAATGAGACAATCACACGGACTACTGAGTCTGGTGGAGGAAAAGGGACAGCATGGCTTTTCTCTCAAGGGGAGCAAAAGCCTTGGTCCTTGCCGTGACTGGCCTTCATTGGGTTTCTCTGCATGTTACATGATGATCCTCATTTACTATGCACAGGTTCACTTTAGGTGGTTACCCTCTACAGAAAACAAAGGAGCCAATGCCACTAATCACATCACAGAAGACGGATATTTGCAAATGAAAAGGCAAAAGTGGTTGAACCAGTTACACTCATCCTTGGAAGGTTTAGCATGGATTTTAGGAAGTTACTTTGCAGGAAATGTCCTCAATTCAGGGTGAGGGAGTTTTTTAGCAAGAGCAAGACTCAAAGCAGCCTAGGCATATTGCAGGTCTGATTCCCCATGGGAGAACCCATCTGTGGGTGTGGGTCCTGTGCATCTCCAAGTGGGAGCTGGGCCCATGCCACACTGAACAGTCTCCTACAAAAAATAATGAAGGAGAACTTCCCCAATCTGGTAAAGGAAATAGACTTCCAGGAAGTCCAAGAAGCTCAGAGAGTCCCAAAGAACTTGGAACCAAGGAGGAACACACCAAGGCACATCATAATTACCATTACCCAAGATTAAAGATAAGGATCTTAAAAGCAGCAAGAGAAAAGGAGATAGTTACTTACCAAGGAGTTCCCATTAGACTATCAGCTTATCTCTCAAAAGAAATCTTGCAGGCAAGAAGGGGCTAGAAAGAAGTATTCCAAGTCATGAAAGGAAAGGACCTACATCAAAGATTATTTTATCCAGCAAAGCTATCAGTTAGAATGGAAGGGCAGATAAAGTGCTTCCCAGATAAGGTCAAGTTAAAGGAGTTCATCATCACCCAGCCCTTATTATATGAAATGTTAAAGGGATTTATCTAAGAAAAAGAAGATAAAACATATGAACAGTAAAATGACAACAAACTCAACAACTATTAACAACTGAACCTAAAAAAACAATAACAAAAACAAACTTAGCAAACAACTAGAACAGGAACAGAATCACAGAAATGAAGATCACATGCAGGGTTATCAGTGGGGGAGTGGGAGGGGAATAGTGGGGGAAAGGGACAGAGGACAAGTAGCATAAGTGGTAGGTAAAAAGTAGACAGAGGGAGGTTAAGAATAGTATAGAAAATGTAGCAAAGAAGTTATATGTACAACCCATGGACATGAACTAAAGGGGGGAATGCAGGTGGGAGGGGTTGTACAGGGCAGAGGGAAATGAAGGGGGGGAAATGGGAAAACTGTAATAGCATAATCAATAAAATATACTGAAAAAAATTTTAAACAAGAAAAAAGAACAAAAACAAAAACAAAAAAACAGAAAAAATCTATAGAAGAAAAATTTGACCAAAGTCATCTTTTATTTGGTTTGGTTTTATTGCTATTTTTCTCACTTAAACCAATAGTCTTATCTATATTGAGTAATGTGGGGGGAAATCCAACTAATAATACTAACTAGTATATATTATTACAGTTTGATACCACCATATTTCATTCTTACTTGAAATGTTTTATTGTTTTTTTTGTTATAGATAGCCTTTGAAGTGAACATAGCAAACTGGAATAATTTGATGTCAGTGTTATAGGGATCTAACAAAAATAGAAATAATAATGATTTAATAACCTTTACACTGAATTTATTTAATAACCTGATTAATTCCATAACTTTATTCCATATTTTATTCTTAAATTTCCATAGCTTTATTCATTTGAAATGTGGACCTAATGACTTAAGCTTTAATTTTTTTTAATTAAAAATCCTCTCTAGATCATATCATAGCATTTCTTTATTTGAGATTATGTTTTAGATAAGTGTGTCTGTAGGTGCAGACAACCTCTTCACAAGTCTACAAAACATGTCCAGGTAAAAGCCATGACTTAACTTGTCCTGATTTAGTCAATTTTGTGAATTCTGTAAACTATAAAAAGATTATATTTTTAAATTTTTAAATTGGTTCAATATTTTTCTACAATGAAAATCTCATAGAAAATTACTCACTTTGATTTTGATGTTTAGCATTTCTAACAATGCATGAAATAATATGAAAGGGAGAGAAATAGTAGCTGTCACTCTTTGTATCACACAGGATTTTATCAGAAAAGCAGAATTACTATCACAATTATGGAATAGTAGACTCATTATAGGAATAAGATCTAACAGAGTTGTGGAGGAAGCTGAGGAATTATGAGGGATGACTCTCCCAAAAAAAACCAGAATTATCTTTTGGAGGGCGGGCCCCTTATAGTACAGGTTTCCCCTGCTAGGTGAGTGTTCTAGGAACCCATCTGTATCAATGTACTATCTAGGGTTGTTGGAGAGGCCACATTCAGCTTCAGTGATTTTTTTTTTGAAGACTCAATGCATTTGCCCATTTCATGATGGGTGATTTATGAGATCACCTGCCTACATTTTCTACATCACTCTGAGTGTTTCACAATTTTTTCACCAAAAAAACAGCTTGACCCCTGTGCCCCACCCTCCCTATTCACCTGATCCTGCCCCAGGAGACTTTTTTGTTTGTTTCCATGGATGAAAAAAAGTCCTCAAAGGGAAATGTTAGGCCAACAAGGAAGAGGTGAAACAAAAAGCAACAGGAACACTAAAAAGCATCAAATTGATGAGTTCAAAAACTGTTTTGAACAGTGGAAAATGTCTCAATAGGTGTATTGCATCAAATGGAGAATACTTGGAAGGTAATCAAAGTTTATACATGTAAGAATAAATACACAATTTTTATAAATAAATTCCAGTTTTGGGGGTCTTCCCTCATATTAGGGGTCTGGAAGGAAGAAGAGCTGAACAGAAAGCAAGGGAGGGCAAGGCAAACCCACCACCCCCTCTGCAACTACTTCCCCACATCTAAGCACAGTGACATTCAAAGTGCAGTGGCTACTGCTTAACTTCCAATCTCCAAACCTTGTGCAAATTTTTCTTCTAACTTTAACCAAGAACTACACAGAGAATAGAATCCTGAGAATTACAGTTTCAGTTTAGATAAATTGACATAGCATAAAACTATCACACTGCTATTTTGTAGTCATTTACATATCATTTATTTATTCAAAATTTATTTAATAATTACTTAACCACTTTCCAGTCTCTTTGTTAGTTGTTAGAAATACAACTCTAAACAAAAATGCCCACACTCCTCAAAATTCAGCTTATTTTCAGGAACAAAATTTTAAGAAGCAATTAAAATACAAGTGGAAGGAGAAGTACAGGTAAGAATCAGAGCAGCTAGCTGAGCCCTTTCCAAAAGAATTCACCAGGGAAATTATCCTGGGTAACTAGACTTCTAAACTGATACCTGATGGATAGGCAGATGTGACAGACAGAGGGAGAAGTAGGGTAAGGGAAAGAACCGTGTGAAATGTGCCTGGACCAAGAGAGAGGTCATGGTGTACTGGGAGAACTGAAAAATATTCAGAATTATTGAGTACTGAGTCCCCAGGGGGAACGATTAACTTGCAACAAACAAATTACTGGGGGTATTTTTTTGATAAATTATTATAAATATATTTAATTTTAGTCCTGCTCCTGTACTCCTTTTGGTAGTGATTTAGTTACTGAGGATCATAATTGTTAAAAGTTCCTCTGATCCTAGATAAGACTATGTTTCAGTCAGTGTCATTGTCTCACAGCAGATGTTTTAGAAATAATTAAATCAGATAGGAACTGTCTTATTAAATCTCAATTTAAATTTGTCTAAAAGTGTAATATAAACAAGAACATATGTTTAAGCAAATGTTTTTCTTTCTTTATATCCTCTGAGCTGTAAGTCCTTTACTTCTGGGTGGTCATTATTGTGGTGTTTGTTTTTACACAAAGAAAAATATAAGAGAATTCTCCTATAAAGTAAACCACAGTGGAATTTTGCTTAGCATTAGACAACTAGAGAAACCACAATTGCGCATTACTTCCTGTGTTTATTATCAGCATGGCCGATCTCTAGTTACAATGATATGCTGAACTATTCAAAACTGAAAAATTGATATATTTGTATGGGAGAAAAGAAAGAATGCTTCATCTTAGAGTCAAATACCCAAGCAATTAAAAACTAAAATGTATATTCAATAAAGCAGATGACTCCACAATGTATATAGAAAAATAGCAAAAGCTTTCCTCTATTACTATGCTAACCATTTTGGAAGTTCTGTGCAGTTTTAAAGGTTATTTTTATGTTTGTTTTAGTAAATTTAGCTATTTACTAAAATAGGAGAATGTAAGAGGATCTTGTATAATAAAGTGAATTATGAATCTACAAAATCAATGTGACACTGGTACAAAAATAGATAAGCAGATTAATGGGGATGTATAGAAAATACCAGAATAGATTTCAGTGTTGTAGTATGAAAGGAGAGAAGGTTAGCACTCCCCTTCCAATGTAGAAAAGGCTCTTGGGCCTAAGGGCATGCATATTGTTAAGGCATTGCCACCTACTTAGTGGTCTTTAACCATCATTTTTTTTAGAAGAGGATTCAAGGGGAATAAATGGTGATGGAAATAGACAACTTTGGATAGTGAATACATAATACAATATACAGATGATATAATATAGAATTTTATACTTGACGCCTATATTATTTTATTAACCAATGTCACACCACTATATTAAAAAATTAAAAAACAGATTTTTTTTAGAAAGACACTTTTTTTAAGATTTTATTTATTTATTTTTAGAGAGGGAAGGGTGGGAGATAGAGAGAGAGAGAGAGACAGAAACATCAATGTGCGGTTGCTGGGGTTTATGGCCTGCAACCCAGGCATGTACCCTGGCTGGGAATCGAACCTGGGACACTTTGGTTCCCAGCCTGCACTCAATCCACTGAGCTACGCCAGCCAGGGCTAAAAAACAGATTTTAGTGTTTGAATTTAAAATTGTGTATGCATATTTATGTATTTAGGATTGAAATATAATACCTGTGTCATTTTAAATCAATGGATATGTGATTAATTATTTCAAAACTGGTATTGTACTTGTAATTTGGTATAAAATATAATAGGATATGCATATATTACATTTGGTACAATTCTAATAAATTCAGGTTAAAATTTAAAAATTGAAAATGTGCATTTTCTGTCCTGCAGGTTGATAAACTAAGATAACATACAAAAGCTTCCCATTGTATACATAGAAATGCTGGGGAGAGGAAATGTTCAAACCAAAAAATTACCTTGTGGAAAAAAAAGCACAGGAAAAAAAGATAGTTGGAATAAGTAATAGATATCCCATTTTGCCTGGGATAGTCCTGCTATCCAATGTAACTGGACTTCTGAAAATGTCTTGGTTTGGATGACTCCAGTGATTGTAAACAGGAACTAGAAGCTCATGAACAGCTAATACATCTGGTCCTGGTGTAGGTTGTGGAGCATGGTGGGAAAGGAGTTGGTAATTTTGATGTCAGTAAATTAGAGCATAAGTTTAATGCTCATGTGGGAACAGGAGATGAAGTCTAGAACCCACCTGAGGAGGGGAGTTGGGGCCTTTGAAGTCTGTACTGTGGTGAATGGTATGCTGCTAGGTTCCCTTTCGGGAATAAAAACCCTACCACACCAGTTGTTAGGAGTACTGCAGATCATCCTTTGCTGCCAGCCCTTTTGGAAATTGTATTTCCAAAGACTTCATAGTTGAAGAAAAGAGGTTCAACTTTCCTAGGGACAAAAAATGTTATGCTAGAATTCTATACTCAGCTAAACTTTTTAAAGTATGACTCTCCTTATACAAATATAAAATATATATGGGAAATATTATGCTTATTTTAAATGCTTAATGTAATTGAATTTTATCCCCCCCACGCAGTTACAGTAGAAATCATTGGCAATGATCAAAGACTAGTTTTACATCATTTATGGGGTCTCTTTTACAGGGAGTAACACTGAGTCTCTGAAAGACTTTGTGACTTCTCCAGGCCTTTTGACTCCAGTTCCTCTGCTCTGTTTACTATACCACACAAATTAGAACCAACCATTCAACCAAAATACAAACAATCGTAAATGTTAGGATTTTGTGAGTCCCAGATAGCATGCTAGAAATGAGGTTTTGTGTTTGAGTTCAAAGTAACTGAAATGTTGCCAGATCTGATTAAATTTTACTTTGCAAATTGCTATGAAGCCATTGCCTTATTCTTATTTAACTCTTTGAGTTAAGAATCTTAAGCAAAAAGTCAATTTGTTAAATGTGTGTGTTTAACACAATTTGTTAAATGTATGTGTGTATTTTAAAACGGTAAATCTTAGTTTTAAGCAGATATGAGTCATGTTAAAGTTCTACAAGCCCTAAGTAATGCAATAAAGGCAATAACTGGCTTAGTATTATTTTCAGTATTCAGTTGTATCCTTCTTATGACTTTTATAACCTGATTTATTGCTCTATTATTGGATGATTGTCATTCTTTGGAAGAACTTGTGTTGATGTTTCCACTTATTATTTATCAAGCACAACCCTTCTTTATCAAAATAGACTATTTTTGTCTCACTAGTTAATTATTATTTCCTTTTAGTTGCCCTATATACATATTTGTCAAATTAATGTTAGCATTTCTGTTTTAAAAACCAATGCTGTAATTTCGAGTGAAATTCAGTATTTCTGGTTGTACTCAATGTGTTTGCCTTGGATGTAAAACTATATTTAGTGCTTTCAATTTTGCAAGTGAGAGCATTTTCTTAAATGCGGTCCAGAGTGCCATCAACATTATTGGCACCCATTTTATTCCCTTTGGGGTGGATGAATCATTAGTAACCAAATAGATTTCTTAATGACACCTAAGATTCTGAAACAGCTTTTGAAAAGCACAGAGGGTTCCACAGATGTGCTCAAGAAGTCGTGGAGCACACCTAAGAAATAAGGAGGCATCAGCTAATAATAAATTGTATCTGTTTACTGTCCAATGTGTAAATGGCTTAACCTGAAGACAAGAAGATTGTTCAACAATAATAAGACAAAAATCAGTGGAAATACAAAAGCCTTCAACCCATCTACCAACTGGAAGACATTATATTCATATATGATAAATAAGACATTTTGATTTTTAACTGAACTTTATAAATTATCTGGTTGTTCCATACTATCTAAAAATTAGATGAAATTAGTAGCAACATGAAAGACAGATTTGTTTTTGAAGCATGAAAATTTATTATTCACCAGGTGTATTCTATGTGCTTTGCCAAAATAAGTCCAATATTTAACCATTACAAGTATACAGAAAACCATTTTTCTTGTCATTAATTGATACATTGTGTAGCATTCCCTTCTGGTGATTCATTTCAGTTCAATATGTATTAAGTTTCTACTGTGTACCAGGCCCTTTGTTAGATTCTGGGGTCAAAAGTCCAAGACATAGATACCAAGAATAAAACTGACTTAAAAAGGGCTTGCCATTTAAGAAGAATATAGACATGCAAGCAGCCAAATACAGGATAGGATGAGATACACCTTAAGTAGAACTCAAATAGCATATATAGGTGTGACAGAAGTAACACCTGCTTGAGTGTGGTATGGTATCATTACCATATTTCAGGGTAATTATATGTGTATAATAATTCATAGTTTTAATTTGAACATTTCACCTAAAATGTTATATGGTATACCTGAGTGTGATATTATTATGTTACAGAATGACATGCTTATGATTTTGTAATAAAAGACATTGTAATGCAAAAAGGGTGTTATTAATGGCAAACCCCATACTGCATTTATTCAGAGAATAGTCTGATAAATGCTATCTATCCAAGAGGATCCAAGTAAAGCTTTAGGCAGAAGGAGACATTGGAATTTGATCTGTGATGTTCAGGAATGCTTTCCAAAGATGGAGAATAAGCAGGTGAGCAGAGCAGATTACATTACCCTAGGTTACATTTTTGGATAGATTCCAATATAGTTAGTTAAAAGAAAAATTTAAGGTTTGGGAATTTTCTTGGAAATAATGACATATACATACTGTTGAGTGCTTACTATTTCTGATGTTTTACTTAGGCTTAGTAAGAATTATGTCATTCAATATAATATGGTATGATGTAGATATGTAGATATTGTGATCCCATTTTACTGATGCAGAAACCGTTACTCAGTTTGTTACAGAACTTGTGCTAAAGTTGGCTTAGCTCATTAGTGCTATATTAGATTTATATTGCCAGATAACAAACAACCATAAGCTTAGTAGCTTAAAACAATTTCCACTTATCATCCCACAGCCCTATAGGTCAGAAGTGCAGATACAGGTTTTCTCCTGCCTAGGGTCTCATCAACCTGAAGTCTAGGTTTTAACCAAGGGTAATTCTCATCCGAGGCTTGGGGACATCTTCCAAGGTCATTTGTTGTTAGCGTGATTCACTTCGTGGTGGTGCCTAAGTTCCCTGTCTTCTTGCTAGCTGCTGGCTGGGAACTACACTTTGCACCTAGAGGCTGTCCACAGTTCCCTGCCAGCTGACTACAATGGGCAGCTCACAGTGCTTGCTTTTTTCCAAGCCCATGGGAGCTGTTACCTCCCTCTAACTTCCAAATGCGTCTATCGACTGTTACGATGGAGTTTTATATAATGTAAGGTAACCACTGAGTGACAATCCCACCACCATTTGGCATAAAACTTAACCTGAAAATGAGCTACTATTACATCATAGTCACAGGTTCCACTCACGTTTGAAGGGAGGTGGCTATGCAGGGTGTGTACACTAGAGGGCAGAAATCTGGGAGGCCTCTCAAAATTCTGCTTACCTTGAAAAACACACTGACTCCCTTTCCTAGGTTCTCAAAGACCCATCTCATCACAGCATCAGCTGTGTTCCAAAACTGCAACCTTGAAATACACATTTCACAATCTCACTAGGTCAAGCCCCAAATTGTGTCTAAAACTCCTTAAAGTAAACAACAACAACTCATCAGCTAAATCGTCTTAATGAGGTACAGATGGGGGTCCTACTATAATCCATAAATACAACACCTGGGCTCAATTCCTCTCCACCTATAGACCTACAAAACCGAAGAGGCAAGTCATCTGCCCTCGACACTCCCAACATACATGGTGAAACAGGCACAGGATTATAGCTATAAACACTCTGCTCAAAAAGAGGTGGGGGGGAAGTTAGGGGGTGGAGGGACTGAGCAAGAAGGGCTCGTGGACATGGGTAACTGTGGTGATTGCTAGGGGGAGGGGGATATAAGGATATAAATGGTAATGGAAAAAAATGCAATAAAGATTAAATTTTAAAAAGTGGGGTGGGGGAGGGGGGCATGTAAGGTAAAAAGGAGTCACTCATCCAAAGCAGTTTCCCAATCCAGTTGGCAAATGGGAGTTTCTTGATAAATTTGTAAAGACTGAATAACTTTTTGTGACTCTTCATTCTACCTTCTGGGTACTTAATTTCATCCTCTGAGTCACCCTTCCTTTTTGTGAAAAGTAGCACATGTTTGCAATTGACTAGTAACTCATCAGCCTGCTTCCTGCAGTAAGAACTGTGTGTGTGTGTGTGT